AAATACACTCCAATTAGTAATGAACCAATAAGTGCTGTGGCGGCATCCGTAGACTAAAAATCAAAAAATTCAGCCAAAAATAATTTTACTCACAACAAGCTTACTTGAAAATGTTGCGAATAGGAACTCTTGAATTCAGCAAAACATGTGCATACACCGTCAACAATGAGATTCGAAAAAAATGCAGCAAGTACTATTATCCAACCATATCCTCCATCTGGTGGTACGGGTAAGAGATCAACTGCAGCATCAGCACCTGAATTTTGCAGTAAATTTATATTTGAAGATGCTTACAAAGGAGTCTCAAAAGGACACCAAAAAACAACATCCAAGAATTTATAGATGAGCTCCAACATTCTATTGTACTTCATTTTGAAAAAAAAATTCCTTAACAATAGGAAGTATACAAGAAAGCCAAACCCAGTGGGAATCAGTGTCTAACCAGTTATTCTTGAAGGTAACTGTAAACAACACCTTCCTCTGAGGACTGAATGGAAAGATGTCACAACAAAATAAAAAAGGTACTGGCAATGGGGAAGAACTTTTGGAAGATTAGGCGTAAAAAATTATTCACAAAATTAAAATGATGCAAAGAAAACAAGGGGATTTTCGAGGATGTTAGGTCGCCTTCATGATATAAAATATCAGCCACTGATGTTAGAATATCAAGAAACTATTTATCAAAAGCATGGAATATTTGCAAGTTTGAAAAACAAGCATTCATTGAAAATATTACAAGATTACTTGTTGAAAAATTTTTCAACACGCTTGAGTTGCGTTCAAGAATTCTATAAATGTAAATGATCATTAAAGCGACATGATTCTATTTATATGATCGACAGTCGTTTCAAAGACAAAATGATAAATCAAATACATAACTTACCCATACCTGCTTGAAAATTGATGGAAAGACTGGAGAAGTCAAGCTCCTGGTTCATGCCGTCCAGTGAGCCCTCTTCTTCTTCAAAATAGGGAGGATGATCTGCTTAAAACAAAAAGATTAGAATAGACTTGTACAACAATTTTCCAAGCACACTATTTGAAGTTTGCGAGCAATGACTAAATTATGATATCAAGGAAGAGTTCAGAACTTATCAACAGG